TCCTTGAATGCTGAATAATAGGGAGTTTACTGTAATAAGTCTAAAACGTTTTAGTTAACTTTATTTAGTTGCTAACAAAATTATTTTGTTACATTTTGCTGCCGACCAGCGGCTAGATTCCGCAGTCGACAGCAGAATGTAAACAATTAATTTTAATAGACAGCCTGTTATTTCAAACTGCAATAGCAGGCTGGCTATTGTACCTGCCCTCTGAGCAGAGAAGCGCTCCTCTGCTCAGTGGGTGGGATTGCAATAGCCAGCTTGCGATTGTAATTTGAAATAGCTAATAGAAGGCTGGCTATTGAAACCTCACCCACCAAGTAGAGGTGCAGACTTGAGAACTTTCTCCGGTCTGCTCCTCTGCTCAGCAGGCAGGGTATCAATAGCCAGCCTGCTTATGGCTATTTCATATTGCAATAGCCAATATCAGGCTGGCTATTGCACCTGGCCACTGAGTAGAGGAGCGGACCGGAGAGAGAACTTGGTTTCTCTCAGTTCCGCACCTCTGCTCAGTGGGCGGGGCTTCATCAGCCAGTCTGCTATAGGCTATTGCAATATGAAAAAGTAAAATACCAGTCTGGCTATTGCTCTCGGCTGCTGACATTCACCTGTTGGCTGCAGAAGCTAGCCTGCAGGTGAATGGGACCGCAACAGGGAACGGTTACAGTTATTTGACACAGTTATCCGGCACCTACCGATCCCCGTGGGTGCCGGATAACTGGGAGTTTACTGTATATAGGAAACTACTGTGACCAGTGCATGAAGTCTTAAAATTGCCTGTGTAGAAGGTATCAGTTTGTCATCAGTTTAAGGCACTTCTGAGATAATTTGGAATTCATTGACAGGAGTGTTTGACCTGCTTCAAGCAGGTTTTGCATTCCCATAGGCATGTATTGCAATGCAAGACCCGTTTGAGGCAAACAAAAGCCCTTCAACACAGGCCCTTTCATTTTTTTTATTTTTAAATAATCCTATTCAGGAGTGTGACTATTTTAAGACATTTGTTTCTGTAGAAAATTGTAAATAGATTTTGAACACGGGGCAGCCATATAGAGTTTCTGTTTCCGGTTTAGTTGCTTTGCTGCTCCTCTCAATACAAGTCTATGGGTCAGGTCAGAGCTGATTAAAAACAGATGATAAGTCTGACCACCAGAGGGGGCATATGTAAATATGTACGTGTTACCAAAGTGTAACAGCATTCAAATAGAATAATATATACATTATGTTATAACATATAAATGCTTTTACCTTACTTCCATAACGTCCAGGGGGAAAAACACACTTCAAAAGATTGTGTCCCAGTTCACCACCTTCATTACATCAAGCTGACAGCATAGCTACTGTACTTCAAAGTATGGCAAACTCCTATAGCTTAACCCTTTCCCTGCCACCAGCATAAGGCTGACAGCAGCAGCACTGGCTTTTAAACTCATTCCTGGCCGCTATAGCAGCTCATATAAGCAGACTGTCAGCTTTGTGTTGGAAGCAATTCATGGGATTCAGAAGCTGCTGCCCCCACCCATGTATCCTAGGCTCGGCTGCCCCTTCTTTGGACCCAGGACAGCCATGGTGGGCGTCATGGCGAGATGAGAAGGTGACTAACGAACATCCGTTCGACGATATCCTCTCCTATATATGAATTGGGAAGCAACGATTAATAAGTCACATCCGGGTTCAGAGCAGTCATTCCCTGGCCACAGATGCAAGAGAAAAAGCACCATCTGTGCTTGATCAGCTACAATAAAGTAGAAAGGTGACATTAGGGGGTCCAAAAGACCCCTAATATGCTCTTAAGGAGAACTTGTCACGTATAATGTGCTATCACATGGGGCTATTAAACAGCTTAAACATGTATAAACATTATATTAAAAAAAAACAAAAAAAACACCACACCAAAAAACCCCCTAGAGGATTGTACCTAAACATGTATGTGGTTTCCCTACAAGGCTACAAGCAAAAACAATTGTGCCATACATACCGCCACGTATTCGGTAAGAAGATAAAATCATTCTAGGGCCATTACTCACAGTAACTAATGACCTGGAAAGGGTTTTAAACTGTCGTCTATGGACAATTTTGAGTGCAGAAGAAGTTTGCCACCTATTCATGGGTGCACTCAATGTGTTTGGTGTGTTTGGTATCTATTTACTCGACACAACCTTATCTTTTATGTTTTAGGGAGTTATGTTTTTTGGTTCAGACCTATACAGCCAATTGGAGGACTGGCCACACACATGAAGAAAACCCCATATACCTGCACATGTAGTCAACGATGAGGCAAAGGAGAAAAAAAAAAATTAAAGTTTTCAGTAAAAAGTGTGCTGCATTTCTAATACTGGAATTATGTTATGTGGCCACTTTTGATACAAAATCATGCTTTTCGGAACAGCTGATTCATTTTGTTCTATGATTAAGTTATGTGAAAGGGAACAAGAGTATTTTGATAGAAGAGAAAGTATGTTACAGTGTCACAGCTATACAGTCATGTGCTGCGGTTTTGTGGGACATTCTAGGATTAAATAAAGCTCAACGCCAACTATATTTAAGGCTTACAATTAAAATGTTGGTGCTTCTGTGGCATCAACATAGTGGTGACAAAAAAAAAGCTTAGGTTCACCGCTTACCCTTCTTTGCTTCCATCAGCTAGAATGCCCTCAGGGATTTCCACAAAGAGGCTCTGGTTTGACAGCTTGGCCTTCCATGAAGATTCTTTCACGTCAGTGACCTTATAATGAAAGTGGATAAGGCGGGGCTTCCCATCATTCCCCGGGAGATCCTGAGAAACCGTAAGCTTCTCATCCTGGCAACCAATGGGAAATATGTAGAAAAAAATAATAATTAACTCATGCAGTGCAATATAAATCATCTGACACATTCCATTTTAATAATAAAGAATAAACTTTTTATGAAGACTCTTCCTACTTAACCATAACTAGTTATTACTAGAAATCACACAGTTCATTGTCATTCACTCAGCAAATCTGTAGAAGGCGCTCACGTTACATGCTCACAATAAGCATTTAGCAATGCCCAACAGGATGATGCAAGTATACTGTAATTAAATGAACATCACATACCTGTCAATGCAAACAAACATAAATTAGATTAACAGGATTAATATTGGATTTAAGCTCTGAACCTTGTGTGAAACTAAGAGATCCACGAGCCTGAAAAGAAACATCTTCATCACAGTTCATATTCCAAACTCCTGGTATGGCTCTGCTCCTTGGTGACATGAATCACACACACACACACTTAAGTAACTTAACTATTAACAAAAATGTATCATATTTGTGTATCACTCAGCTGTAGATCCTCAAATCATCTCTGAATTGGTGCCGACACCGTCCTTCCTTCTGGGAGGTGGCTACTTTTGTTCCCCACGGTCTCTGTGTGTTGTAAAGTAGTCACAGCTCCAAGCTCGCTCCCATGATGGACTACAATCTCATGTTTAGTTTTCTAATTTGTATTGAGATTGTAGTCCATCACAGGAGCGAGCTTGGAGCAGTGACTACCTTACAACACATACAGGGACCATGGGGAACATAAGTAGCCACCCTCCAGAAGGAAGGACAGTGTCCTCACCAATTCAGAGATGATTTGAGGATCTACAGCTGAGTGATACACAAATATGATTATTATTATTATACAGAATTTATATAGCGCCAATAGTTTGCGCAGCGCTTTACAATATAAGGAAGAAATTACAATCACAATACAATTCAAGACAAGACAAGACGGTAAGGAGGGCTTACAATCTAAACAGACAAGTCCAAACATCTATGCCAGGACAGATCGGACTAGAGAATGATAGTTTTTTTGGGCAGGCTCTGCAGACTTGACCTACATGCATGTCATGTAAATGAAGCCCCCCCCCCTTTTTTTAAAGCTGCACTGTGACCCCCTTAACTGCACTTTATTTTTATTTTTTAAAAGGTGAACCTTTAATAAAAAAATAATATGTTTCTGTAACTCTCTCGTTACCATGAGCTAATTATAGACACAAATAAAGCTGTGTACATGTTAGCTGTCTGCAAAGAACTGTACAGAGCTATAAATAGACCCCTCGTGGCAAAGATAAAAAAGTGTGAACATTTTAACTCAGACCAGAAAGGATGCCAAATCATTTAAAAGGTCTGAAACAGAGTAATTTGCCTTTTTTTCTAATAATCATCATCATCTATCAGAAAACAGGTGCATTCTGTAAAAGGAAAACACTGTATAATTGCAGAAGCGCAGCTTCTGCAACCATAGTCCTTGCAAGGGCCCCTCACACATCTCTTACTGGGAAATGTGCTCCCCATTTAGCTCGCTCATGAGATGCCAATGTGTCAGATTGCATTGTGTGAAGACATGCTGATGCCTAGTCAAATTTTACATTCAGTAACCTACTGTTAAAAAAGAGCAGATCTTACTAAAGAAGCAAAAAAAAAAAAAAAAAGTGTCCTGACCAGTTACCATATAAAAAAAAATATATACTTTATACTGACCAATCCAATAAAGACACCACTCTATTTGAAGACTTAGGCCCAGGGTAGAAGTGTGACAATATTGTTTAGACGTTAATATAAAAATAAAAAAGTTGTTTATAATATTCTTAAGAAAATATTGTCCATTTTCAGTTAGGCTTAAGACCACAAAGTACAGAGACAAAACATGATTTTCCTTGTGGAAATTTCCCTGCATACTGTACTGTACAACTTTTTATTCTTTATGTATAGTTTGACTTTATAAGTGGCACACACATCCACACATTAGTGGTGGCAGGAGATGAATGTTTTACATGGCACGGTTTTATCATTATTGCTACATGCCAACAACCCAAATCTGACCTGCAAATAAGAACGAGATAAGAACATAAGAATAAGAACATATAGATAGGAAAAAATCCTGTAAAATCATAGATGAGTAAGCACACAAAGACTAGCGTTGCACTACACTGACATCTACAGCTCAAAAGAGAATATTACATCTCTGAATGCCAGTAATATAATCAGTATGCTGTTGCATTTCCAACAT